ACGAGAGTAACGTTCCTTCCTGAGCACAGGCTGAGACACCCACAGCAGAATCAGATCCTTTTCCATCAGGGATGAACTTGGATCTGTTGGAGTCCAGAGGAGACCACAGAGATGCTGTGAGGGCTGGACCAGCTCTGCTCTGGAGCCAGGCTGAGAGAGCTGGGCTGGTTCAGCCTGGAGAAGAGAAGGCTTCTTAAGGGGAGAGCTTAGAGCAGCTCCCAGTGCCTAAAGGGGCTACAGGAAACCTGGAGAGGGGCTTTGGACAAGGGCCTGTAGGGACAGGCCAAGGGGGAATGGCTTTAACCTGCCAGAGGGGAGACTGAGATGAGCTCTTAGGCAGAAGTTCTTCCCTGTGAGGGTGCTGAGGCGCTGGCACAGGTTGCCCAGAGAAGCTGTGGCTGCCCCATCCCTGGCAGTGTTCAAGGCCAGGTTGGACACAGGGACTTGGAGCAACCTGCTCTAGTGGAAGGTGTCCCTGCCCGTGTCAGGGGGTTGGAACTGGATGAGCTTTAAGGTCCTTCCAGCCAAAACTATGATTCAGTTCTATGGGTTTCGTGTTGGGGAAAGTGGTCAATCCTTACCTCCTTACCTACACCTTTCTCAGAAGCTTTGTTTCCACAGTTGTTGCTCCAAGCAGGTGCTATCAGATGCCTTTACTCTCTGTGTTGTGTCAGTGACTGCATTCTCTTGTGCTGGTGCTGCTTGTGTAGTGCAGGGGATTCAGGGGGCTTTCCACAAGTGGTTTTTAAAGGGGTGTCAGGCAGTGCTGGAGTGCCTGGGAGCTGGGCCAGCGTGTGAGATGTCTCATTGAAAGGGCAGTTCTTCTGCCTCTGTGTCATGGCACTTCTTTTCCTCCAGGTATTAAAGTGATAGGTGGCATCAAGGAACTCACTGGAGATGAATATGGAGTTTATGTCAAGAGGATCCTTCCAGGGGGTGTTGCTTATGCGGATGGTGAGTTAAATCTGCTGCTGAGTTGTGCAAAGTCTGAGAAAAGCCCAAATCCAGTGTATTTATTTTACACATTGTCTTATTAAACATCTGAGTTGCTTCCTCCAGATTTTCTAGCAGTGGATACGTTTGTTTAGTGTGGCAGTCACTGTAACATTCACCAGGAGCCTTGCTTTGCCTTTTCAGCATACTCATGATTGCTTCATGTCTTTAAAGCAAGGTCCACCTCTGCCACACTCAGAACTTCACTTTGCTGCCTGTCCCTTCCCCCATGCCACTCTGCTTGTAGCTCCAAAATGACCCAAGATCCTTCTGCAAATGCAGCTCTGCTCTGGGGTGCTGATTCCATTCTGAGTAGCTTCAGATGAGCACGTATTAGGCAGGGCTCATCTGCGGAATTCACCTTTTATAACTTAAGCCAAAAAGATGTTTGGGGTGTTTTTTTTTTCTCCCCAGATGTTACAACATCATTTTTGCATCTAATAAAGAAAATTAAATGGAGAACAGGTGGAAGTGCCACTCGTGGTTTTCTACCTGACCTCAAACTGCACAAAGTAAAAGCTGTATTGCATTTTTTGGGTACTGACTTTCGTAACTTCCTCCAGCTGAGGAAGTGCTGTGACACTGGCACGGGCTGGTCAGGGAGGTTGCAGAAACTTCATCTATGGACATCTTGAAAAACAGGTTGGATGAGCATGTCAGGCACAACCTGTGCATATTTCATCCTGTCTCTGGGCAAAGGGAGGAACTGCCTAACCTCTCCCAGTCCCTTCAAGCTGTATTTTCTGCAGTTTCTACCCATTAGTTTTCTTTTCTAGGGCGCCTGCAGCCAGGAGACCAGATCCTGGAGGTCAATGGAGAGTCCCTAATTGGGGTTACAAGCGAGAGGTACCATGTCCAAATGGAAATTGTGCATTCATGTTGCTTTTGTATAATTCTGGGAAGTGGCTCAGGCTGCAGGTTGAGGACATAAGGGCATTGCTTCGTCTGCACTCCGACGCAGCCTGTGCTGAGAGCCAATTTGGGAATTATCAGACAAAAAGATTCTATATAAAAATAGACCAGTGAACCCAAACTGTGCTTGTGAGATATTCAGATGTTTCCCCAAAATACAGCTCCTGGCACCCCTACTCCATCTGCTGCAGCTTCTCAGCAAGCCCCACAGCTCCCAGCACAGGAGATTAACCAGTGCCTAAGCCAGAGTGCTGCTCTGTGCAGGGATTCCCTCTGGAGCTGCAGTCCAGCCCCTCAGCTCCCTGGCAAGGAAATACTTACCTGATCCAGAGGAATACTGCACTTTTGGGGCACCCTTTTCATTAATCGTAGTGCTAGCCTGCTGGCTGCCTTCCATTCCTACTGGATAGATGCTTAGGAAGCGGCATGAGGAACTTCTGCTCCCAAATGCCCAGAGTGGCTGGGTTTGGTGAAAGAGGCCCCTGAGGACATCTCTGCAGTGTGTGTCCCCAGCACACTGCCCTGACTCCCATGGGGACACATGTATTTTGAACAAGAAAGCAGTCATCCCTGAGATGGATATTTCCCAAGAAAGGAGGTGTGCTGGGAGGTACTTGCTCACCACCATGTGAATCTTCTGGGTCTTCTTTGTTATTGGGGACTTCTCATTTATTGCAGAGTGGGAAAATCAGGCTGTGACTTGACTGCCCTGTACAGGGCAGGGAATGGGGGTGTTCCACAAGCAACCAGACAAAAAAAGGTCACTTGGCTGGTCGTGGGTTGGTGCCCAGGCCATGGGCCTCTACCCAGCTTGCCATGAGCCCTGGTAGGTGGCTGGATGAGTGGTGGAGCACCGCTGTGAGCTGGTGTTGACATGCGGTGATCCTTGTCTTGCAGGGCTGTGGACATCCTGAGGACAGCATCAGCCACCAGCCACATGCGCCTTCTGATAGCCCGTGATGACGATGCCAGGTAAGAGGTGTCACCTCGCGCTGGGACTGAGGATCACAGCACTTGTGGGCACTGTAAGCTGGGCTGCCTTTGAGCTAACCAGGCTCAAAGCCCACAGTGAAGAGAGAGGTGGCCAAGTGTCTTTGATAACTGTACACTGGTGCAAATGCACTGGAGCTGCAATAGGAAGGAAGCAAAGCTGGTGGTTCCAGCCCAGACTGTGCCAGGTCTGTTGGGCATGCTGGCATCCAGCAGGCTTCTGAGGGAGGACCAGGGCAGCTCCAGCCTTGGCTGCAGGGGAATATGGGCTTCTTCAGCTCCCTGTGGCTTACCACATCCTGCAAGACCTTTGGATGAATATGTACAGGGGCAGCATGATCTTCCCTTTCCTTTTGAGTTAGATGCATTGAGTTAAGGTCTTCATTCCTCAGAGGATTCTTCCTTCTCAGGGAGGACAAGCAGTTTCTCCATTAAGACTCTCCACTTGCTGCTCCCTGGAAAACCTTGCTTTCCCTAGACTCAAAAGGGAATCCTCCTAGGGTTCAAAAGGAGAAGGAAAGATTTCAGTTTTGTCTTAGCTGGATTTAAGCTGTGTGGAACAATGAGAGAGGGCAGGGTTGTGGAAACCAAGGTATGGGATTAGTGGGGTCTTTGCCTGCATGCCCTGGGAGATCTGGAATGATGTGCTGGAGTATCCTCTCCCTTGAATAGAAGCACAGGTCTGGACACTTGAGGTGCACCAGGAGCCACCAAAATGAGAGTGGGTCTGGGCAGAGCGGTCACAGGCTGGTGGCACTGAGGCTTTGCAGTGCCTGTGGGTGGCTGGAGATTACAGAGGAGTTTGCTCAATGTACCCACATCCCGTTAGCATCAGAGGTGATGGTTTCATTCCTTATCCATCAGCAGCTGTGGAGCATTAGTGCCTTGGCAGAGCAGTGAGAGAGCTGTAATGACAGGGATGAGACTCATTTTGACACAGTAATACACTGGTGGAAGAATTATTTGCTATTAATGATACTATTACCTACGCTAT